AGAGCTTTTGTGGTTGGATGGTATTAGCTTCCCCTTCAGGGATGCTCACTGCTGCCTTTCTGATTAAAGGTAGAAACTGGCCAGTGGCTCTGGATCTGGTGTTCTAACTCAATCGCTTGTACCAGCCAATGATGAGAGTCCTCCTGCCAGCCACCATCCTGGTACCAAGTAACACAGCTCACTCTAAGGCTAAGCCCTCTGCAGCTCTGACTCAGTCCTCACCCCGAGGGGCTCTATCCAGGTACAGCCCAGAACAGTGAATATGCCAGTGGGCAAGAAACCCAGTTCTTAGGGAGTTGTTTTTTTTTTTTTTTTTTTTTTGCATTCTTGGGATTGCAAGTGACAGAAATCCAACTCAGCTAAATTGGGATTAAGTGAAAGCAGTGACATTTATTGGAAAGAGAGAGATTAGCTCACACAATTAGATTTTGGGAAGGCAGATCAGGGCTGCTGTCTGTGGGTTTCCTGTATCTGCCCCTCCTCCTTGCTGGCAAGGTCCCCTGAGGGCTTTCCCCCGCCCCCCGCCCCCACCCGGGCAGACAGCTCCTCAGCTGCCATTACCCCAGCTTCACCAACAGAAAAGAAAAGGCACCGCTCACCTCCCTCTCCTAGCTGAGTTTCACCTTAAAAAAAAAAAATCACAGGGAAGGAATTGGATTGGTCACCCTGACACATGTGCTCACTCCTAGGCCAATCAGGTACCATGGAGGGTTCCCATTACTCCCTGTTTGGGTTCATTTAATTCGCTCGAGTGTCTCACAGAACTAAGGGAAACACTCTGAGTGGTCTATTATAAAGACTACCACAAAGGCTAGAGATGGAGAGGCACAGGATGAGGTGTGAGGAAAGGGGCGGAGCTTTCATGCCTTTTCCAAGCCCCACCTTCCAAGCACCTCCCTTCTAGGCCTGGGGAAGGACCCTTCTGGAATGAGCAGGGTCTTAAGACCCACTATTCAACAAGGCAAGTCAGAGAGGCTTTTATGACCAGCTCTGAGACAGAAAGATGTGGGAAGATTAGAGTTTCTGTGACCCACCTTGGAGAAGAGAAATTCTGCTTTCCGTGGCCTGCCTTGTGAAGGGAATCAGGAGCCAGGAACCATGGATGAAAACCAAAATATATATTTCATAACCTCCTCCTGCCCTCTCTTCTCTCTTGTGGTTTGTGGGGGCTGCAGGATCTAAATTCCACTGTGAAAGAGCCCATTCCTTTGAGTCATTTCTTCCCTTTTACAAAATGTGAATACTCTTAAAAAGATAACACAGGTTTTCTTCATGCTAAAGTATTATCAAGTGGCTCCTGCCTGCCAAGGAATGTGGCATCTCCAGGCATTTCTTAATCACTCCTTCTCCCAACAGCAGAAAATGAGAATTAGGAAATCTAGATAAGGAAATTTCCTGAATTTAGAATGGTGAGCCTAGAGAGATGGAAAGTCAATTCGTGGTTGCTCGGGCTGGTTGAAATGGGAGTGACTGGAAGCGGGCATTAGGCTCCTTTTTGGGGCAGTGGGAATATTCTGAAAGTAAACAGTAGGAATGTTGTACAACTCTGTCACTATACTAACAATCACTGATTCAGGCATTGACTTGTGCATTTTAAATGCAAGGATTTATAGTATATAATTATACCTCAGTAAATTGATTTAAAAAAATTTTTTTGCTTAAATTCTTTTATTGGTACATTTTAGGTATACAATACGTTTACATTTATCATTGGGTGCTTGTACCTGTACATGATGTATCTTGGTTCTTATTTTTTCCCCATTACCTGTGCACCCTTCACCCCCTCCACCCTTCCCTATTTACATAGATTTTGTTTGCATTTTTTTTTCTTTTCTCATAATTTTTCCTTTCCATTCTTTCCTTTCCCCATCTCCTCCCACCACCCCTACCACTTTGGGCCTTTTCCTATTTCAAAGTATCAATTATTAGTTATTAATCCTTTTAATCCTTATTTACACTTTCAGTTTCTCACACTAGAGAAACTATTCGGTATTTACACATGTGTGTCCTATTTATTTCACTTAAGAGTGTGGCCTTAATATGCATCCATTTAGCTATAAATGACTCTTAGTTTCTTATTCTTTATGGCTGAGTAGTACTCCATCTTATTAAAAAACCACATCTTCTTTATCCAGTTTCCAGTTGATGGGCACTTGGGCTGTTTCCAAGCTTTCACTATTACGAACTGTGTTGCTGCTATAAACATGAGTGCACATATATCGCTGTGGTCTGATTCTTTTAATTCTTTTGGGAAGATACCCAGTAGGGGAATAGCTGGGTCAAATGGGACCTCTAGTCCTAGTTCTTTGAGGTATCTCCATACTGATTTCCATGGTGGTTGCACCAGTCTGCACTCCCACCAACAATGGAGAAGGGTTCCTTTCTCTACACATCCCCGCCAGCATTTGTTATTGGTTGATTTCTTGATAGCAGCCATTCTTTCTGGGGTGAGGTGGAATCTCAGTGTTGTTTTCATCTGCATCTCTAGAATGATCAGTGATGTTGAACATTTTTTCTTATGTTTATTTGCTGTTTTTACTTCTTTGTCTGAGAAATGTCTGTTCATTTCAGATGCCCATTTTTGAATTAGGTCTTTGAATTTGGGGGGGTCTGATTTTTTTTCAGTTCTTTATATATTCTAGATAGTAGACCTTTGTCTGAAGTAAATTGATTTTTAAAGAAGAAATATCTTTTTTTTTTTTCCAGTACTGGGGATCGAACTCAGGATCTTGCACTTGCCAGGCAGGCCCAGCACCACTGAGCCACATCGGGGCCCAAGAAGAAGTATCTTAAAAGAAAGTTTTTAAGTCACTTGAGTGAATGAGAGTAAGACTGTTAACATTTTGGCATAGCCAGGTGATTCTGATATCGGTTAGCTCCTTCTACAAGTGGCTCACCAGTTAAACATTACTGGATTTTGTGTTGCTCACCTCTCCTTCTGGAGTTGGATTCCAGGTTCTTCTCATCTGGGAACAAAGAGTTGAATAAAACGAGCAAAAAGCAATGGCAAAGTTTATTTGAAAAAGTAAAAGTGAAGACTGAGGAAGAAACTGGCACTGCAGAGCAAGATTGGGCTGAGGAAAAAGCAAGATTAAAAAAGAACAACAACAACAACAACAACAAAACACTCTGAAGCAAGCAGGATGGGCTATCCTGAGAAAAGCCACCATGGTGAGCTCTTCTTGATGTCCGTGTCCTTTTGTGCTGTCCAAGTCTTGAGGAAACCTTCGAGAACATCTACAGACATGTCTTGAGAGGGGGTGCTGGAATCTCAGCTTCAGGCTGATGGCAGGTCAAGGCCATCTTGTTGAAAACCTGCTCAGTTCTATGGAGAAGTCCATGTGCAGGGCTTCTGCCCATTTGTTCTGGGATTTTGTAATTAACAGGTCATGCCTACTTCCCCAGCCGGCTTTACCACACCCTAATCTCCTATGTCAAGACCTCCCTGAGGATTCAGCACTCTGCTAATGTGGAGCCTGCTGCCCCTGAAGGACTATGAAACTGGATTGCTGCTTCTGTCACCCCTGGTACCAGGGCTAGCTCTGCCCTCTGTCCTAATGGCCCTGGAGGCAGGGAGCGTCACCCATGGGAAGGGTCAAAGCTCTCAGATGTTCATCTTCACCACCTAAGGTCAGCAAGCTCACCCCATGTTTGCCTGTCCATCTCTTCTCTCTACTTTGTATGGTTGAGGTGACAAAGGGACTTCAGACCACCCCATAGAACCCTGGCATGGTGATCTGTCCTCAGCTTTGTTTCTCTATGCAGCCTGAGACTGAGATTGAAGAATGGGATAAGGACTGAAGTGCTGGATTCCTCCCCAGCTTTACCTCCCATTCTGCAAAGAGGTTACTGGGTCATGGCTCAGCTATTAATAAAATGCCATATTGATACCTATTCTGCACTTGATTGTGTGTGAAAAAATAAGACAGTATTTGAGCATTTCTGGTCTCCTGCCATAAAACAATCAAAATACCACCCAACCACGACTGTAACACCTTTGAGCGTTCCCGATTGAGTTACTGGCATGCTT